TCTCACACTCACACACTCTCTCTCTCTCTCTCTCTCTCTCTCTCTCACACTCACACATACAGCTTGATAGACTTGCTCGGGCATGTTCTGCAATCCTCCTGCATGTGTACAGTATGTATGTATTTTTTAATATAAAACAACTTATTATATTTGGATGAATTTGGGTGTCTTTTGTCAGATTTACCAATTGCTATAACATCTCTAGTACTTTCTTTAGTTTAAGATAGCCAAAGCTAAGCTAAAGCTTCTGGCTGAAAACAGTTGGAGAGTTTTTGACTGCATCAATAATAATTTAGCACGAATTTGTCTCTATTCCCCAACATCAGCTCTCACTATCTTTGATCACTTTCTAATTTCTGATTGGCTGGTAGGTGGCATGTAAATCTGTTTAACTCAGAGATTTTTGCAGTATGATTGAGTTTAATTCAGAGATTTCTTGGCCGTTCGCCTGATCGAATTAACAACACATTCCAACAGCTAAATATTACTTTTAATTCTTTAAGTTTTCTTAAAAGATTAGTCCAGACCTGCAGTCTAGCAGTGACATTAGAGCAGAAACCAGCGAAATGCAACGACTATCACTATCAGTGTGAACCAGCCTTTAGCGAACACACTGCCACAGGTTTACAACAATATAAACCACTTACACTAGACACGAGTGTCCCTGCCGTCGCTGCTCTTCATGAGCTGCATGAGATATTTCCCAGCAGTTTCCTTCATTCTTCTGCAGTAGTTCTCGCACTTCTTTCAGTGAAACATGCACGTGTATTATCGGTCTGTGCTTCATCATAGATCTCCACATGTTAACAGAGTCATGATGTAAATCCAATAAGCGCTTAATAAATCCCAGGTCCTTCTCCTCCTCCTCCTGGATCCGGTAGATCTGACAGTGCATCTCATGCAGATGTTACTTCATCACAGACTTAAGCTTCATGCTTCCTCTGTTGTTCCTGAACTTCACACTTTATTTTTCCCAGCACAGTGTGTCCAGATGAGCGCTATCTCTGGATTCTGTGTGAAGTTCAGAATAGAATTTAAGTTGTTCCATCTATTCCATCTCTTTGAAGGCGCGTTTATTCTTCAAACACCAGGAAACGGAACACGTCACAGTCGATGAGGAAGCACGGAGAGCCAATCAGCATTCGAGGCGCCAATTTTTAAATCTTTCTGACCAGATTTGATTAATCAGCAAAAACAAGCGTCTGAACTTCCTGAAGCTGATATTCGCAATAATATTGACTGTATCGATCTATCTATGATAAAGTAACTGATGCGAATTCATATTTGTTTTTCTTTGTACACCCATGGCACATTTGTTATGTATTTGTTGTTTAAGCATCAATTAAAAAAAAAAGTGCAAGTCTGAGAGTGCAGAAACCCCAGCCCTCCACACAGAGAGAGGAACACAGCAGACGATCTCAGAGGAATGCATGGCTCAACAGAACTCCCCTTTACACAACACATAAGAAAGAAAGTTACCCAATCTATTTATAGAGCGAAATAAATACACAGAGGAGACCAGGGATGATAGTAACACTTTGTGTTCGAGGGTCAGTAATTTAGGGTGCTTTCACACATGGCCTGTTGTTTCGGAACCTGGCGCGTTTCCCCCATGCTAGATCTCTCAAACTTTGATACATTGTAGCCACACGTGTCTGCTACCAATACAACTCACTTGAGCTTGTACTACACGATCACAGATTCTGTGAGTTAATGTCAAACACAAAGAGTTCCGCTGTTATGACCTACCCACTACTATAACACTAGCTGGGGAGAGATCTGGTGAAATAATATACACACTTTCCAGATTATGCAACAACTTTATTGAAGAAAAATGTGAACAATTTAAACTAACAAAAATATTCTGGAACTTTAAACTTAAGACTATAACAAATTGCTGTTTGTGTGTGTGAGTCAGTGTGTGTGTCAATGTGTGTGTGTGAGAGAGAGTGTGTGTGTGTGTGAGAGAGAGAGAAACAAAAGGCTTAAAAACATACAAAATGGTGTTTTATGAAATTCTAAAATTGTCAGTAGTTTCCTGTGAGGGGTAGGTTTAGGTGTAGGGCGATAGCACATACAGTTTGTACAGTATAAAAACCATTACGCCTATGGAGAGTCCCCATAAACCACCAATACAAGTATGTGTGTAGTGTATATCTCATTAGGGTTGAGTCAGTCTCATGGTTGTGGCAGATGTAGATGGCTGCTCCTGGGTTTGCAGGCTTCGTGGGCCCAGAACTGACTAGAAACACACTTGACCCACACTTCTTCTGACCTAGAGTTTCCAGAGTGATCCACGCACACAATGCAGAAATTCATCATCAGACGTATCATCATCATAAAGGTTTTATGAAGATAGAATGACGTCAATAAGATTTACATATGCAGGGTAAGAGTTGTGGAAGTGTAAGTAAGACTGTAAGCGCAAGAAAAAATGATTTGCAGCATTTTACTGTTACTCGTAAGTGTAATCCCAGTCTTGCTCACAGACACATGCCACTTCTTCTCTGTCCTCTAAACGGTTATTATTTTTTATATTTGTAATATACTGTAAGACAGCAGAATGCGGAGGCAGAAACTAGATGATAACTCTACTGTACTCTGCTGCAGTGAAAGCTCTGTTAAATGATCGCCATCTAGTGGTCACACTCACAGATTACACAATACTCAATACTTCACTGCATCCCCTTCCCTCTGATAACACTAGTCCCTCAACAACTCAGTCAAATATATCAACAGCTTTTTATTTTTATTATTATTTATGAACTTTATCATCCTGTTTTTTAAGGTATGCTCCAAAGGCGGGATCCTCTAATCTCTTGGACCTCCCCTGAGCACAGCCAGAAAAATCAGAGGCTCAAGAGCCTTTTCTGAATCATTCTCACCACGCTTTCCTCTGAAAACATCTGACAGCAGATTCAATCTGATTATTACATATTATTATATTAGTTATATATATATAGACGCTGCAACCCGACGCCTGGAGTTGAAATGAAGATGAATGTGAGATTTACTGACCGAATTGAGATCAGACTCACCTGAAGATCTGCAGCATGACAGATGAAGAAGATGAAGATGATGAAGAGAGCAAACAGCCACCAGAACTCAGCGGTGAACATGGTCTGACGACGACTAATATATGATATGATAATGCTTTACTCTGCATGAGCATATTTTAGATCCCTTAACCCGACCCCACACCTAAACTTAACAACTACCTTACTAACTATTAATTAATAAGCAGCAAATTAGGAGTTTATTGAGGAAAAACTCTGAATACGTGTTCCCCATTCTAAAGTGTTACTGAAATAATCATTATTAATACATTAATAATTAATAAGAATACAACTCATTTGTTAAAGTGCATGCATTTGTACCAGTCCCAGATATTGCTCTGAAGATTTGTAATAAATGACTGATAACTGCACCACATGTGGATTCACGACTCAAACACATCAGTGATATTATAGATGGTCAGGCTTGAACCAAAAGCATAAAAAAGATGCGCACATCCCACAAACCCACACAGGGCTCAGGTGCAGGACAAAAAAGTCAAACTATAACAAAAGAACAAACGTATTGTCCACACACATGGACAATAATAATAAGAAATATTTATTGCAACGTTTCGACCATCAGGTCTTCGTCAGGCACAAATTACGTGAACTGAGGTACAACTCTTTATAAGTAACAGGTGGTCATCCTAATACGACACGTTCAAGCACTATGTAGGTGTACTCCCACAAAAATAAATACATAAATAAAATGATAAGGAAAGACAGAGAGAGAGAGAGAGACAGAGAGAAAGATTATTATTACAATATTAGAATGATTTCTGAAGATCACTCTGGAGTAATGATGCTGAAAATACAGCTTTGATCACATAAATAAAAAGTCAAACTATAACAAAAGAACAAACGTATTGTCCACACACATGGACAATAATAATAAGAAATATTTATTGCAACGTTTCGACCATCAGTTCTTCGTCAGGCACAAATTACGTGAACTGAGGTACAACTCTTTATAAGTAACAGGTGGTCATCCTAATACGACACGTTCAAGCACTATGTAGGTGTACTCCCACAAAAATAAATACATAAATAAAATGATAAGGAAAGACAGAGAGAGAGAGAGAGAGAGACAGAGAGAAAGATTATTATTACAATATTAGAATGATTTCTGAAGATCACTCTGGAGTAATGATGCTGAAAATACAGCTTTGATCACATAAATAAATGACAGTTTAACAGATATTCACACAGACAGCAGTTATTTTAAATAGTAAAAATATTTCACAATATTACTGCTTTTGCTGTATTTCTGGTCAAATAAATGCAGGCCTGGTGAGCAAAAGAGACTTCTTTAAAAAACATGAAAAATCTTGCTGTCCACAAACTTTTGACTGGTGGTGTGTGTGTATATACTGTATATATAACTGTCAAACACTAGTGCCGCTGTAGATCTTAAGCAATGCTATGTCCTCTGTGTTTTCTCTCTGAGAGGATTCCACAGTGTCTTCTCGACTGATCTCTCTCTCTCTGTCCCCTGTAAGAAAACAGAAATAATCACTGATGGTAAAACGACAGTAATGCCTGCTGATGACGTCACAGCTACAGATTTCATTAGTCAGCAGTACACTGATATAAACAGTGTTAAAAATGTTCAAGATTCAAGATTTTTATTTATCAGAACACAACTTGCAGTGAAATGTAAATCTCGTCAGCTGCTCAGACTGTGCATTAAATATATAACAATATTAGAAAAAGACAAAATAATAATTAAAATATGCAAAAAAACAGTACAATTTTGCAGGTAAAAAGAATAGTAAGAAAATAATTAAGTATAGTAAATGTGCAAAACCAGGAGTATTTAATTTGTCAAATTTCACTCTTATATATATATATATATATACAGGCCGTTTATATATTTTATTTTTAACACTGGGACACTGACAGGACGTCAAACTATTTTATTTTATAATTTTTACTAACTATAACTAGCAGTTTACTGCTTGTAGATTGTACATTTATCAACTGAAGATTGATTTAATTTAGTGGGGAGTTGTGTGTATTTTACAGCATCTAAACTGTTCCCAGAGATCATATTATAATGATTAATAACGTGAGCTCCTCACCACAGACAGTAACTCTGAATCGCTTGTGTCTGGTCTCTCTGCTGCTGATGATCTTGAGTTTATAAAGTCCAGAGTCTGTGTTTGTGGTGCTTGTGATGCTCAGAGATCTGGTCTGAAGGTCCAGCTCCAGTCTGTCTCTGAATCGTCCACCAGCACCATCATATGTAGATATCTTACGGTTCTCCAGGTCAGCTTTAGCTATGAGACTGTCTCTGGGGCCGAACATCCACAGGATCAGAGCGTCTCTCTGTAGCTCACTAACATCAGTGTTCAGTTCGGCTCGGTCTCCCTCCATCACTGACACTGTGTTTTCTTCATTTCACAACAGCATCATGTAGAAGACAAAGAGACAAACGTGCTAAATCAGCACATGTATATTTAAATAAAATTAAGATGACATATGTTTAGATAAATGTCATGGTTGTTTTATTCTCCTAATTTAAGATCTGCTTTTATGAAATTGAGATTTGAGGGCGAGTTCATTTCAAAGCATACAAATTGTAGTTCTGTAGATCGAAACACACTGTAAAAAATGACTGTGAATTTAACGGTAAAAGACTGTAAAAATGCTACAGTAAAAACCTGTTAAATGGTTAACGGTAAATTCCCTTACTTTATACGGTGAAAAAATGTATTGGACATTACATGTAATTTTACGGTAGTATACCGTTTTTGGAAGTG